AAAGTGAATCAGAATATCAGGCAATCATCTGGGGACTTTGATTAACATGGACAGAAAATCTGAATAATCCATGTTCTGAGAGTCCTGTTTTGTGTCTAGCTCAGAACACATTACTAATGAGGTCAAAGTTACTGTAGGCTGCTTATTCCTTGTATGGGCCAGTTAGCTCTGATCTGCTCCATGACCACAGAATACACCTCCTGCTTTAGACAGCTATTGTGAAAATAAGTATACTTACTTGGTCATACAGGAAGTCATGACAGAAACTGAATAATGAATCTCTACCATTTGAAAAGTAAAATAAAATTATATTTCTCATGGATGGTAGGTCAGCTATGTCATTTTTGTATAAGACAATAATTATAATAGTCACTGTTATATAGCTCTTATTTGGTGCCAAGCACTGCTCTAAAAACTTAACAAACATTAACTCACAATGTTCACAATAACTCTCCACATGTTACTATTATCCTTATTTTATAAATGAAGAAATGGAGACACAGAAGGGCTAAGGAATTTGCCTCAAGTAAAAATGGATGACTTTTTTAGGGCATTTTCCCACATCTTCTGTATCAAGAAGATTGAGGGCAACAATGTATTGGTGACCTAGAAAATATATCACAGGAGCACAGAATTTGGATACTTCTTTACACTGAGGTTATCGGTGAAATTGCTACTGGGGCACAACTTGTGCCCAGTAAAGTAACCTAGTCTAATCCATATTTTTCCACCCAATATAATTATAGGCATAAAAACACCCTTTGCAAAAAAGAAAAACAAATTTTTGTTGTCAATAGGTTGGCATACAATGTATGCATTTAAGAAAAAGTATGATGTGGTTTGGAGTGATGAGTATGTTTGGGTTGTCTCATAGGACTGAAGTATCTGAGTACCCTGAGGAAGAATTATTTGTATGACTGGCAGAATGCTGAAAAATCTTTGATCTTTAATTACAATTGACATAGAATTCTAAAATTCTAGGCTTAGGCAAGATACAGTAACACCTCGGTTCACATGCTTGTGTTTGCAAACAAAAGCATTTAGCAAAATTTTGCTTGTTCACAAACTCCATATCAGATGACAAACATGACCATGGCCATCTTCCCCACACATGAACACAAATATCTTCAACAAAATTATAAAACAAATTAAGTTAGTGAACCAAGGTACCATTGTATATAGATAATCTGATTTATAGTTCTCTTTTCTTTTTATAAAATTGTAAATAATAAAATTGCTTATCAAAAGAAGCAAATGAAAAACTATCTTCTATCATCTACAATCTATCTATGTTTATCTACCATCTATCCACCTATCATTTTCTTTCATTACTGGAGAATTGAACCTGTAATTGGCCTGGAACTTGCAATTCTCTGTCTCAGCCTCCTGAGTAAGTTGAATTATAGGCGTGCCCCCCCCACTCTGCTATGTTATATTTTTGAAAGACTCTGGGAAGTGAAACTTCACTGATACTCCCAAATGCACTTGTCCATTTAATCAACAAATGTAAAGTGATCATTTACCCATGACCTGCTGCATTACTGGTGCTGAGCATAGCAGGTAATGAGATGTAGGACACTGATCTTCAGAACTTGTTTTTCTACTCTGTTGTTTTCTGCTCTAAAAAGATAAAGGCTCTACTTCCTGTATTTTGTATCCTGCCTATATTTGGTTTTATATTTGGGTTTTATGGGAAAAACAATTTTTTACCATTTTAGTTAGAGACTATATTTGCTAAATGCCATTTTCTTTTCCTTCTCATTAAACTGTATACATTCACTACCCTACTATGTTTTCCCCTTTGGAATGTCAGTGTTTTTATCAGCCATCTTATTCAAATCCCTATCCTCTCTTTCTGAACCCATCTAGTAGGTGAATGAAGAGGACTCCTTGGATATAGAGGATAGAAGACCCCCCAAAATAGAAAGATCCTATCTCTGAATACCTCTGCTTGTAATCCCACCCAGTCTCCATTAGATTGTTATGTATATAAGTAATATTTTTATTGTGTTAAAATGGAAAAAAATGTGAGGGGTTGTTGTTAACAATAGGTTCATATCCTCCTAATTCAATGGCCTGTACAGAATTTTCTGCAAAATCTTAAAGATGGTAATCAGCTAATCACTACAGTTTCAAGTTTGGTGAAAATTGAATTGCAACCTCACCAAGTTTCCAATTACTAACCTTGTTCTTCACAGGAAAAGACTCTGCACTGCTTCCTGTAACTTGGACACATTGCAGCATATCCCCTGCTGTTCTTTGGGACACCTATCTAGCTTCTGCATTTTAGAACTGGTTACAAATAACTGCAATCTCTTCTTCTTGAAATTTCCCCCACTCTGATTCAATCATTTCAATGTCTTCATTTTTAAGATCACAATTATTTTCTCCAGTTTTTTGTTCTTTGTGATTTTGAGATTATAATCAGCAGAGTGAATGTAATTATTTGTTTCTAAACCACATGTGCAGAAGGACATTGCCTTTCCTGATCATTTCTCTCCTCCAAATACTTCATGGGATGCTTCAGTAGCAAATACATCTAGCATTGTGTTGTGGCTTATTCATGTTTTGACAGTATCAGGATACTTGTTTAAAGTAGGTTAAACATTCCCCTAAAAAGTCCTTTGTTACAACTGAAATTTTTGACCTTGAGGTTTTAACTAACATTGTTTTCTTTTTGTCTTTTACTTTTTGTATCATCACACATCTTTTTATCTCTTCCTCCACAGATCCACCTTTTTTGTTTTATTTATTTATTTATTATTTTTTGTGAGAGGATCCTGGTCACAACCTTAGCTCCATCTCTCATTATTTCACACTTGAACCATTAAACTCCCTTCCTCCATTCTCACACCTTACCTAATTCTTCTACATCTGCTTTCAAGGGAATGCTCCAACACTTCTCCCTAGACTTATTTCTTATGATGTCTTCACACAGATTTCTGTGCTTGCCCGCTATAATGCACTTGCTATCAGCTAAGTAGAACTTGCTTCATGTGTATTCCCAGGTGCTATTCTCCACATTTGGAAAATTCCTACTCTTTGCTACTGTTTTCTGTGTTCCAAACATTTCTTACCATGTCAAATCTCAATTGCCCCACCTTGCTTATGTACACAGTGTGTTCAATATTACTTTTCCTACACCAGAATGTGTTTTATTAATACTCTTTTCTTCAAGCATATGATATGAAAACTATTTGATAATTTATTTTAATTTTTTTTTTGTACTGAAGATCGAACTCGGATCCTTGTGCTTGAGAGGCAGGTGGCGGAACCACTGACCTAAATCCCCAGGCCCAATTTATTTTAATTTTTAAGCATTTCTATTATATTTTATGAACTGACCAGTAAACAGTATCGGTCACTCAATAAATACTCATGATTGACGTTAGTACCATCTAGAAAAGATGTAATTGAGAAAACAGCAGGGACCATTGTGGAAAGCAAGTTTGGGTGGGTGTAAGTGATTTTATACATCCTAATTTCATGGTAAAGGAGCACTGAATAACCTTTATAAAAGTACTGGGGATGATTTCAGTTCTTAAAACAGGTAAATTTGATATGAAGGTAATTGAAGTGAAGGATTATTTTTAATAAACTATTCCATACTTTCATCAGAGAGCCTTAATTCTCAAAACTATGACCTCTTATCGGACATCTTACAACATGAATGCATGAATAATGGAGAAATTGGAGCCAGACAATTCTCAAAGTTAAATTCTCTCCCCAAAAAAGAGCAACAACAATTGCAAGTATTCAAACTTAACTTCTCACCATGAAACTATTTTCTCTCTTTAGTCTGCTTTTAACAATTTATTACCTCACCTTGGCACATGAATACAAGGGGTGTAAAGATTTATATGTGCAAATTTCAGGACATTTTCTTTGGTCATTAATTTTCTAGAAAACACTTGGTAAAATGTAAATAATTTATTTTAAAATAAAATGTGAAAGAAAATAAATGGGTGAAAGCCATCTCCTTCCCTTTCTTGGCAGAGTTTTCTTATTTCTCACACTTGCCTGTTGGAGAAGTAATCCTTAGAATACTACCCATTTCCCTCTTCTTTTGAACTACCCTATAATCTCTTTCATAAATGAATTTTATTTTCACTTCTCATTAAGACCTGGTTCCTTCTTTAAGCCCCACAATGTTAAAAATTCATTCTCAACCAAAATATTTGCCTTTCCCATAATACTGCCTTGGGTTCAAACCTTACCAAATGACTGAAACTGTCTGTACTCATAATTTTGAATCTGAAAACAGAACAGATTTGGATCTAATTCAACTAAGGCATGGAGAAAGCAAGGAGGGGCATCTTTTTTTTTTTTTTTCAGGAAGTATCCAGCTACACTTCAGAGTATCTATGGTTAGACTGGAGTGCAGACATTGTTAAATTTGCCAGATTTCAGACTTTGCCAGATTAAACCCATGTACAAGCTGACCATCTTCTTGAGCATTACTTGTTCTCAAAATGATTTCCTTTGTATTGTTATGTTTTGATATTGCGAATTTCTCATCGTATCATATTTTCAAAATGCTTCACCTTAAGAAGTCTGCTTTTAAACGTATGCTAACATCTAGTAACACAACAATAAATTTGTCGTACTTGTGTGAGAACTAGTTATATCAGTGTTTTTCTAGATTTCGAAAATCATTTCAGTGAAAAGTTGAAAAGAAAAAAAAATCACACTGTGGAAGCAACTGGAAGAATGCCTTATGTTCTACACTAAATACTTATTATATGTTTATGATCTATATCTTAAATTTATCTGATGAAAATTAAACTTTGAAATTGCCATCTAGAAATGAATTTTATAGATAGTGTACACATTAATTTCTGAAAATGGTAGAAAAGATTTCTTGTCAAGTTCCCCACTACAAGTGTGAATGCTCTGTTTTTGAGTACCTACTAGTAGTGAAAGGACACATTGTGGCCAGCCAACTCAAATTGCTACCCACGTTTAATCATTGTAAATAAAGGAAGCAGAGAGACCCATGTTATATTTTCAGAACTGGCATGCTTAATACAGAGCTATTAGTTTAAAAATACCACTGAACATTCTATTTGAATTAATCTAAATATCTGTGAAAAAATAGTAAAAAGTACAATTGTCCACTGAAACACACTACTCATTTCATGCAGATTATTAACTTAGTAATTATACATACCATTAAAGAACAACCAGAGTACATAAAATTTTACAACACTCAGAAAACAGTTCAACATTGGTGGATTTTCATTTTGAAATACCGATTGTTTTTACAGAAGCAAAATCTTCTTTCTCAGTGGAAAAAAAATAACATCTATGAAACACATATGTTGAACAAGACTTTTCTAAGGAGCAACTAATTGTTCCATTGTAAAATGTTCATGTATTATAGCTAAGCTTTCACATATTATTGGTATATACTACATTTTCTGAAGAGGTGGATATAGAAAAGCAACAGATAAACAAAATTCAAGGATCACGGAGAATAAATAGTGGGAAAAGGTTGAGAGAAATAGTTAAAGCATATTATCTAATGTTCTCATATATTTGAGCTTCACAATTACAAGAGTTGGGAAAATTCTGAATTTTTACACATTGTGTACATTTGTCCTTGTTTATATTTGTCCACTAACGATTTATAAATCATTTGCAAGTTCCCAAATCAATCATAATAAACAATTGATTCCCACAGGCATCTAGGTGGAGAGCACATCAAATTTGATTAATTAGAAAGAATATAAAGTATTAATCCACAATAAGTACTAGAACAGGGGCACATTCCTTACAGCAAATAGGAAATAGATTACACACAGAGATTTTTGTAGTATGGTTGAGTCACTGTCATTATTTGAAGGTGGACAAGGCTAGTCTGTCAAATATATTTGAAGCATCAGGGATAGAGACACTTGTGCTGGAGCCTTGTACCCATGGACAAGCAGATACTGTGTATGTACAGAATAGTCTATTTCACAATAATATTAAATTGAGAATCCCTATATTTGCTGTTCTACCACTAGTAAACTTGAATCACTTAGCACTTCATCTGTGAATATCGTTGTATTACTTCTTTTCAGTTGCTGACACTTGCAGTCAGTATATGTTTAAATTCAAACATCAGTCATGCTTAAAAACAAGAAGAAAAATGCCCACATCTACATATATACCAGGTCAAAGATCATTTGGGGAAAAAGGTTATCCAAATGTGAGTTAGTTAGAAAACAATAAAATGTGTATTTAAGATGTGTTTTCAAAGTTGTAAAACTTTTGTAATAAGCCAGAAAGCCATAAAGGTTGTTCAAACCATCCTAAAAGAATTCACAGCCTCTCTATTCATTTGCTTAAGAAATGTACATTATTACTTACCTACAAGTTTGCCTACAGAAGATGTGCTTGCTTAATAACCTAAAAGTTGCTATTATTGATTTAGTCTACAGAAGTTGTCCATTATGTTGAAGAAGTTCTAAACATTTCAATCACAGTTTTTTTTCTCAACTGATGTTGTTCTACAAACAGTCTTCCAGCTGGAGTTCCTCAACATTTTTCTTTATAATTCCTGATTCTTCAGTTACTCTTGAGATGTTCTCTTTTCCCCTTAAACTTAGTTCAAATTCTGTTAAAATTTTTAATTTTTCTCATTTCAAGTACCATGTAAATACAGAAATATTCATAAATATGGGGAACATACTTCACTAAATAAGGTTGCAGTCCATGTAGTATCACAAAACCTACTCTAAAAGAACACAATTTTAAAATTTTCCTCTGCAGGAAAAAATTAAAACTGTACATTGGAAAAAGTGCCACACTCAAAAGCACATCCTCTCCCCACTCACTATTTTAGAAATGTAAACAAAAACATTTAAGTACAAAAGCAATTCTGTGCCTTTTTTTTCACTTTCTCAGTACCTCAGTGTTATTAGGTGTATTGTTTTCCACGTATAGCAGAAATTCTGTATGCACATATAACTGTTTAAAGGAATGCAATTTTTTCACTACCAAATGTCACTGGTGAAGCTAAGCTCTTTGGATGACAAAGGCAGCAGGGAACTGTTCCTGGGAAATTCCTGATTATCTTTCAGGGGTAGTTGTCCATTGAGTAGTGTCAGAGGCAAATTACAGTAAGTGTGGTGGTTGCCTAAGGAAGGTAGTGGCAAGGTGCTTGTTGGCATTTCGTGTTTATAACCTCGGCAACAATGCCTCATCTGCATTGAATCTGAATGGTGGAAATCAGGGAGATCAGCTTGAGATGGCACCAGAGTGGCAGAGGTACTGGTCATGGCAATTGAGGGTAAAGGCTGGAGCTCTCCAAAGAGTCCTTGTTCTGCAGAGTCCAGAACATGACACTGAGATAGCATTTCTTTTTTCTTGATGGGCATTTCATATACTAAGTGCTTCCAGAACTTAGAATTTAATTTGCTGCTTTTGGGTCCCTTCCACTTGATCAGAGACAGAAGTTTGATGCTGCGCTTTAGTGATTCTACTTCCTGGCAATTCAGCTTTCCTTTTAACTCTGTACACTCAATCAAAATTACTTTGATTTCTCCACTGACTAGCATGTTATGAAGTCTGCTTTCCAGCTCAAAAATACTCCATCCCCGTCTGAGAATATATTCTGGAGTTAGCAGGATAATAAGTCTTCTACTTTGCTCAACACATCTTGTGAGATCTTCAATGTATGCTACAAATCACAGAAAAAGAGAAAGAGTAAAACAAAGACATTGCCAGCCTTTATAGCATCAGGTTTGCACTCTAGTACATCAAAGATTCAGTCTTTCATTAAATTCTGTCTCATTTTCTTTTCTTGTATTGCACATTGAGAAAGCCCATTTAAAAATTATATTGTAAATAACTGCTTAAATTCTTATTTTGTCTCCCCTTATCATTACTTACAGTATTCTGTTGGCCAACACAAAATTCTGCCTTTTTCAGAGCTTAGGTATATTTCAGTGATTTTTATTTATTTAATCAGGTAATTCAAGGCAGGCTTCCAGGCTAACACTCTAAGTGAACAAGCAATTAATGGGTCAATGAAAAGAGAATTGCAGCTTTCTATTAACTGTGTGGTTACTGTACTTTTGGGTTTGGTTTGATTTTCTTCCGTTTTCTTTCTTTTATTAGTATTATTGATTTTAATTGACAAATAGTAATTGTATATATGGTCCTTCATTTTCAACTACTAAATAAGTACCAAAGCTATGTGTACAATCCACTTGTGATACAAAGATGGTGGAAAATCTCTTCTGGAATAATAGTCAGCTTGTTTCTCATAATATCTTTTCATTTGCAACCTTGGGCTCTTTTGCCCTTCCAACTCAGAGATAGGGAAATGGTGTGTGCCTGTCCACGAGTTTAATTTGAACCAGATGCTTTTTTTGTTTCCAAGAAAAGTGGAGGGTGGCGTTGGAGGTGGGGGTTGGTGCGGAATGAATGATGAAGGAGGAGGCAGAGTCAAACAACTGAGAAGTAAGTCTTTGCCCTGCAACGTGGAGTGATTCTGAAAGTGAAGTAAATATGTTATGCCTTTTTCATGGTAGAAAAACACTCAACTAACCCTAGGTTTGTTTATCCCATGGAATAATCCTTTTGCAATCATGATTCCCAATGTCTTATCTGCCAAAAGAGGAAATGTACACATGTGTTAACAAATGGAGACTTGGACACAGATGCTGCACCAGAAAGCTATCTTTACTAAGCAGAGCATAAGGCCTTCTCTACTGTACAGTGCCCTCTAGCAGAAGCAGTACTAACAGAAACATAGCCAACATTTGTCACTGCAAATCTGCCCAAGGTTACAAACTGCTTTCAGGAAGTCACATTCAGGATACAGTGTGGGGACACCAAACAGCCAAGTACAAACCGTTAGAAAAGAGATACTTGTTTTACAGATGCATATTTTACAGATGATCTCTCTTTTCCAGGGTTTTATTTCCACCACTTGGCAAAAAAAAAAAAAAAACTTTCACAAGTGAAAATGAGAAAACTTTCTACACACCCATCAGATAAACAAAACATGTTTTAAAGAGATACACATAGAATTTCCCCTTTAACAATTTGTCCTTAGGGCTGTTTAAGTTTTTACTTAATACATTATAAGACTTTCTCATGAAGAGTTTCAATAGCTGTATCTGAGGGGATAAGGCAGTTAGTTCCTCAGTCATGATGGAGCCCTGTTTTATTTTAGAGAATATGTATTCAGGGGAAATACCCAGCAATGAAATCTGCAGAAACAAAACAACACACAACAAAAAACACCACACAGGTAACAATGGAGAGGTTTATCACTCTGTAATTATCACTTAGAGAACTGGTGAAAGAGAACGGAAGGAAAAGTAGAAAGTTTCAATAGAGTGGAAGACTCTTCATTTTCTTCCTTTCTTTCTGCTCCCAAAAAGAAAGAAGTTAGGTGGGAAGCTTCATCATTAGAAGTTGGATCTGTAAGATACAGTAAAATAAACTATCATGCATCTTTCGCATTTTTTTAACCTTTCCTCCAAAACAAAACAAATCCCATGCTTAGAATTATGGTATCAGTGCAGAAGTCCATAAGAGTACCATTTTATCAGGTGAATTATGAGAGTTGTTAATTTTATGGAAATACTCTTTACAAAATAATTTACCAAGGGATTACTTTGAGTAGTACTCTTCCTTTATTAATTGCAGATTGTAATTTAATTTAAAAAACAATGTTTCTGTACAAACCTTTTTAGGAGACACATAAAATATACCTCGAAAAACAACACAGTTCCTATGTGTTGGCATGTAATCTTAATCCATTTTTAAACTATACTTTTTGAATAAAAAGCTGTATCTACACATGTCTATATCCACTTAAAAATTATAACTGAAGTATCTTCAGTCATAAATTTTACACATGTATATTAATTAATATGATTAACCCATGACAGAATTTGGCTCTGCTAACCTCTTTTTGGGATGAGGAAGGGAACAGTGTAGTATATATATATTTTTCCTATTATCATAGTGTTACTACTTCATCCATGTATTATATTTTGCCACTTGACAGCTAAGCAGAGTGCAAAATTTAGGATTGTTGGGGTTTCTTAGAGACTTCTTAGGCAGAATTTACATTTTCCCCCAGAAGGAACGCCTGTCAGCACAGATCCCACTATGCTCAGCTGCACAAGCTGTGGGCATTGAAGGGAACCTTGGAGAGAAGGGGTGGTCCCTGTCTCCTGCATACTGCACTGGTTGTGCTTATCCTGGCAAAGCCTAGTGGAGAGTTGAGGCAACCATCCAGATAATTCAGGCTGAAAACCTGCTGTGGAAGAAAAAAAAGTTCTAAATTATCCTGGTTTGCCCTGCATATACATTAATCATATGCACTGCAGTCAGTCAGTACATCAAAATTTTCCCTGGGTAGACAGAGCCCAAGTGTCCCAAAGAAAACACAAGCCATTTGCTTAGGCCCTGAATCTTGTGCTCCATTTCACTTGGTGAAAAACCAAGTGGAAGTTTTCAGATGTGGAGCCCACATTTCACTTATTGGGATGGTGATCAGTGGCTAGACAGTAATCTTGGGATTTGCAAGTAGCTCAGGAATTCCCTCTAAGAGTCTATTGGCTCTAAGGAAAAGGAGAGACTGTGCCCTAGCTTCCATATTCTGGCTTCCTCTCTGTTTTTCTCCCTGCCATTCCTTTTCTCTTTCTTTTTGCCTTTCTTTTTTCTTCTTCTGAATTTTTCATTCTTTTTCTTTCATCTCCAACTTTGCTTTTTTTCCTTGCTCTTCTTTGGCCTTTCCTTCTTTTCCTTCCCTTTCTTCTCTCTCTTATCTCCTTCTTTTTACTTCTTCCCTCCTTTAAGTCTTCCTTTCACTCATTTTTTGAGAAAAAACAAGAATCTAGGGATCATGGAAAATATAAGTAAATGAGGAAGAGACGAAACTGGATACATTCATGTTTTTTTACTTGCTACTCTTTAGCCAGGGAGTTGTTGTTGGCTTGTATTAATTATGTGCCCAAATTAATTTCCCCCTTACCTAGGGGTTTCATGTCTGTATCCAATGACTGTGGCTTGAAGCCTGATCCATTAAAGCCCGTGTCCTGTTTTTGTATGGCCCTTGAGTTAAGAGTGATTTTTTTTTACATTTTTGAGAGTTGTTTTGAAAATGTGATAAATAAGTATATAATGCAACAAAGACCATATGGATTACATAAACCTTAAACCATTTACTATCTGGACCTTTACAGAAAAAGTTTGCTGTCCTTGAATTAGAGAACAAGCAGAGTGGTTAAGTTAGGAAAAGTTCCAAATAAACTAAGCAGAAACAGGTATCAAGTTAAGACATTGCTGGTCCATAGTGTAGTCTCTGACAGGCAATAGGATTTGCTCTGGTAAGGCTGTGGTTTTGTGGAAGACATTTTAGAAACCTTCAGAAAACGTTTTCAAAAGCTTGTTACCACAGAGAGATAATAAAGAAACCTTTAAAAAAAATCCCTAAATCCACAGAGCATAGAAATATTCACTAAATCTTGCCGTGACTTGTTCAGACAAATTTAGCAACTAAGTAGCAAGAATCGTTTAAAAGATTTTTCTACATAAAATATAATGTATCTCTTAAATAAAAGGTCAATAAGTCATTTCGTTTCTTTGAAAATTTTGGTTTGAAGTAACTTTTTTTTTTTTTCGTACTGGGGATAGAACTAAGGGCGTGGTGCTTGCCAGGCAGGCACAATGTCACTGAGCTACATCTCCAGCCCTGAAGTAAATTCTGATGACAGAGAAAGCCAAAGGGGTATATTTCTGATCTTCTGTTTCTCTAGACAAGTCTGTGAAACCACAGCAGAGTAGTAGACACAAAACAAAGCCAATTATATTTAACCTGTAATCTTTACAATTAGGTAAAGCAAAAATCCCCTTAAATATAGTCTTGATAGGAGTGATTAATTTGGCACAAATTATTCACACTGTAAGTGCAAATGCAAGGAAACTTCCTTTTGTTTATGCTAGGAGTTGACAGAGAAGAACATATTCTTGAAGAAAATGCATTGTCAATAGATCTTCCTCGGGATGTGAAGTAATGAAAAAAAGTCAAGCCAATAGCAATAATGGTGGGAAACAATAAAATTGACTACTTGAAACCCTACTGAAAACAAAGCAAACTTAATTTAAAAATCTTCTACAGGAAAAGTATAAAGCAAATTTCTAGTGCATTTAGGGAATGACTGGATTTAGAAAAGTGATTTGAAAATAAATTATGCCACTTATAAACAAAGCCTAAAAGCAAACTGAAGGAGAAAATAAGAAGCAGAAGCAGGAAAAATAGCAGCCCAAAGAAATTGCTTTTAATGAGATGTGTATACTTCTGCAAAAGAGCTCAGTACTATTCGAATTCTCAGGCAGATTTACTGTAGATATAGGCAGAATGATAAGAAAGAAAAAGCTCCATATTCATGATTTTTTTTTGGTTTAGCTACTGATTACCGGCAATTTGATTTCTCACAATAATCAATTAGTTCCTTGTAATTTGTTTTTGTGTTGACCCTTCCAGTTACGTCAAGGTTATTATCAAGGGCAATAACACATTTTTATAAAACAGTTAAAGGACAAAGATGTAGGCTGTAAAAATTGTAATTAATTATAATATGTTGTTAGATTCAAATGATGGAATAATAGTATTTTCATATGCTTAAACGCACAGATATGTACAGCAGCAATTAG